TATTTATTTTTAAATAAATTTTTAAATATTTATTTATTATTAAAGTATTTATGAATTAAAAAAAAAAAAAGTATACACAAGAATGGAACCCGGGAACTCAAGCGTGCGAATCAGGATCGTTACCACTCAGCCACAGGACGCTCAAATGGAAGCACATATAATTTATATATAAAGTGCTAAAAAACTTTAAGTTCGTTTTTCTTGATTATATTTGAGTATTGCACTTTAGTATTTTACAGGTACTACACTCACATGGTGTACTATCTCTACACCAAAGATCATCAAAATCCGTTTTCCCAAAGCCATAGGATCTCCTTGTGAGTTGAAAACTTAAGTTATGTAGAGTGATTATGCAGGTTAATAATTTGTTTTCAAAATTTTGAATTATTGTGGATTGAGTAGGTATTAAATAGGCAGTCATGGACAAATTAAAAAAATCTGCTGTTTATATCATATCAATTTATTAACTAACCTGTTGCAACTGCACCACCTATTTGAGAAAAAGCTAATTCAAAACGTCCTCGTTGCCTCGAGGCACCTTCAGGAAATATCCATTCTGGTCCTCCTCCCTTTAAAGATTAACATTAGTTATACCCAAATTATAAATATGTGACAAATTATGTTTATTTTTTTAATATTTTATAAGATTAATCAAATATTGACATAAATACTATACCTGTGTAATGTAAGTTGGATCAACATTTAAATAAGGAGAGATGTTATATATATTTCCTGATGATTCTGTAAATAAAAATAATTTTTATTTCATCAATAGCAATAATTTCAATTTCCTAAAATCTGCATTTTAATACATACAATTTTTTTTATATTTTGTGAAAACATGTTATGAATATAGAATTAGATTTTCATGTACTGTACTTTTAAACAATAGGCATTTATACATATACACTTAATTCTGTTTTTTATGTGAACTTTTTTAAATGATTTTGGTTTAACACAATTTTAAAAAAATAATTTGTCAAGTATAATCCTAATGACGAATGAAGTTTCAACATGACCTGAAATCGTTAATGTCTTTTTATAGAGAATTATATAAAGGACTAGCCAAAATATGAACCCAGCCATCAATAACTGAATGCATTCATAAAACCACTGTAACATCAGCACCACAGGACATTACTGCTAACGTTGTTTGGCAGTTCACAAAGAACATTGCCCGTGGATGAAGAACAATAGCCAAAGCATTTTTAGTGATTGCAGTAATATTGCAATCATGTGCAAATGTATACCTTTATTGTCAAAGTAATAGCAAATAAAATTTTATGTATAACTCACATTACATATTTTGCCCAATTTTATGTTCATTAATTCTTTACATTTTTTTTGTTTTTCAAATGAAATTTGTGTGTTATCAAATTTTAAGATTCTAACAAGGTTTTTCATATAGTTTATTTTATTATTTTTGTTGATTTCTTAGGTCCTTAACCAATCTTCTAATTTTCCATATATAAAATGTATTTTTTTTTTTTTTACACAGATTGGTTTCCAGAAATTGTATCATGTAAAAACAGAATTAGATATAAACATCTCAAAACTCAATGTTGTTAATCAATGCCAAACAACTGCCGTAATGCATTGGGCTACCATTTAGCACAATTTTTTTGTCATTGATTAACATTAAAATGTAATTATTAATAATAGCTGAAAAATAGCCTGATGCATTACAGCAATTGTTTGGCACTGACAATAGGCATTTATTAATATAGCCAACAAAAGTAATGCACACTCTGAATTTGGGATTCTAATCATCACATATCAAATAGAAAATAATAGATATTTTACAGACTGTATTAATAGGGTGGTATGTGCTTAAAATAGGGGAAAAATAAAATTTGAACTTGATATATTAATATTTAGATTACATTTAGCTTAATTAATTATCTTAATATTTAGCTTAATGACCACAAAGTTTATAAAAAGAGTGATTTATGACAAATGAAAACATATAAGAGCTGTTTGGTAAACCAGATTTGCTTCACTTTTTTGGACAATTACAGACAAATTAAATAGTCATGTAGACATCTGTTCCTGTCTTTGCGATGATTGTTTGCTGCAGTTAATTTTGCATCCATGCCTACCATTGATGTTTACGTCCTTTCTCATGCTGAGCTAACAAGAACTCATGATACTCTGGAATTTTTATCATTTTGACTGCTCTAAGATGAGAAATGTCAAAAACTTCACCTAGTTTACTAACAAATTCAGTCTCACTGTGTTACAGATTGTCATCCCTTGTTTTTCTTTAGCAAACACCATTCTTCAAATGTTTGTTCTAGTTTAGTTATGTAATTTCTTGGATCCATCATTGGGATCCTTGCAATTTCATAAAATATTGCCAGCTTTTTGACTGTAACAGCTGATGACTGTCTGATAGTTTGTTTCAGTTGAAGATGATGATGTAAAAACAAACCAAGAGTCTGATATAAGGATAGTTAATTCAGTTACTGTTGAACCAAGGAGGTACACTTCAGTTTTAGATCTAGTTGCTGCTGCTGCCATATTTATTATTTAATAACTTTGCCAAAATGAACAAAAATGTATTATGTGATTTGCTTCAGCAGTTTCTGGATTATATAGTCTATATATCTGATGATATCAGCAGTTCTTCAGTGATGTGCCTGAATTTGTCCATACAAGTCAAATAACCAATAGGTGCTGATGTAAGCAGTAAGAGTCACTGAGTCAGCCTCAACCAGAAACAGGGAAAAACATTTGCAGCATGACTTGATGATGTCAGCAAAATAAAGATCATAAATCATGACAGAAATTATGTGGGAATGTCATGTAACTAATGTGTGATTAATTTAATGGTTTATTTATTGAGATGACCAACTACAGTTTTACAAACTGTTGTACTAAAATGGATACATTGTGGTTGAAGCTTGTAATTGCCATTCCTACTATTTGGAACCTATAAAACTTCAGTGACATTGAGCTACCAGTAAATATTCACCAATGGAGATTTTTGGCAGGAATGTTTTCTATATATATTGTAACAGAAATAGAGGGTTGGAGATTCACATTTACAAATTGTGAAAATAAACTCCACCCTACTGTATTAATGTCAATGATGAAGAAATTAAATGTTTGTATATAATTTCAAATACATGAAATTTTAGAGTGCATCTATAAAATCTCAAATATTTAAACACATCAAAATTTATTAAAATGAAAGTAATTAAGTCTTAAGTGTAAGTATTTAATTTTGTTAAAAAAACCATTGAAATTTTTCATGAAAAGGTAATAATGAAGCAGAAATGAGAAATAATTTATATCACATTTATTAAAAGTTTCTTCCACATTGAAATCATAAACAAGTATAGATAATTGCAGTTTTCTCTACTTTTATTATGATCAGCAAAGAAAATGTTTTTAACTGAATAATATTACAGATGCCACTATAATGGTTTCTCACAGGGAAGGACATTGAAACATCAGTACCCATGGGACATTTATGGGATTAAAATTTTCCAAGATATGTACAGTTTTTTGAATAATTATTAACCAATAAATAACAGTAAGCTGCTAAAACCAATAATACTTATATCTGTAAGTTATGAAATTAACATATGAAAATCACATTCTATTATGATTCTATCACAAGATTTTTTCATTCTTTAACAGATGGAATTTAGTTAATATATTGTATTTAAACAATTTATTGCTTATACTGCATGCAATTAAATTTTAAATTCAAATGCAAGTTAAGAAATGTATTAGTTATTTAAATGAATACTTGACAAATTGATTTCTCAAGAAGATTACTATAAGAATATCTTGTTTAATACAGAATGATTCATTATATTTGCAGTTATTTCTAACTTAATATGTAACAGACTTTATAAGTATACTTTTAAAAAAAAATCTCAATTTTTAAATTTATTTATTTATTCCTTTCTTAAACAAATAAAACTTTATTAAATGGTCTTGAGCAAATATTAATTATTAATAATCACAATTTACAACTGATAAATTGTAATGAAATATTAATTCTTCCGACTTCATAGAAAGTAAGCAATTTTGTCGGTAATCATAAATACTTCTAGCTTCACTGAATAAACTTTACACTTAACTAAATGAAAAAGCTTAATTTTTTACTTTTCATTACATAACAATAATTTATTAAAAATAAAAGCACCATAATCTTTAATATTGAATAGACAAATATTCAAAATTTAGTAATCAGAAAGGCAAGAATATATGGTATTTGGCAACAGTAACATCTGAATAATTATTTGCTATTCAGTCAAAAACCCATTTGGTTGATCCCTAATTTTAACAAATAGGACTAGTTGTATCATTATATATAGAAAACAAAGTCAAAACTATACTAATAAATGATTAGAGCCAGATTAACTGCCAGGTTAGAACATGGCTAATGAATTACACAGTGTGGTTTATAGGAGCTTGACATTCTGCTGTTTTTTTCTGAAGCATGCTTTGTGATTCAATTTCAAGCTGAATGTCAAAATAAGCAGACTAGGATTTTGTCACTTTAATTCATATATTGCAAAGTGGTGATTTTGGTGCTATGCAGTGCAACATGAGAAATATATTTCTGACTTGGGATCATCATTTATTAAATGTAAAGTTTCATTGACTGATAACTTACTGCATGCAGCCATTTTACAAAACATCAAAATATTAAACAATGTACACCACTTAGGAGCGGAAATAATATTTTTATTAAATGTACTATATATATATCAACTATAGATAAATCTAAGCTGTCCAGCTCCTTATAATAATATAAAACTATAAATGAATGAGATTCATCCATAGACTGGAAAGAGTTTAAAAATATATATAGATTAGCATGCTCAAGCTGAAGACACAAAATAAAGGCTGATAATTATTTTTGTTAACTTCAGCTATTTAATTCTATCATCAAAACATTTTCAACCCTTTCAAAGTCACCTTCAGTCCTTGTACTTTGATATATTGTATTTCTAAAAAGAACATTTTCAATGCCATTGTTACTTTGGATTTTCAAATGCAGCAGTTTCCAGTGAAGGCTATCTCCAAGGACATGTTCATTTCCAAATTCAAAAGATTTTTCTTACACTTGAAACCACTGCACTCAAAAATCCAAAGCAACAACATTAATGAAAACAATGTTCTTTTTAGTATATACAGTAAAACTTATCTAATTAAAAGCTTGAAAAAAATCCAAGTTACGGTCAATTTGAATTAGAGAACAATACAGTGAAAAATGAAGATGCTGAATGGATTTGTATTTTTATTTCTTGCATTATATAATATTTGATAGTTTTTTATTTTAATGTTTGCAGAAAGACATCCCATGTGATGTCTTTCAGCAAAATGTTCAGTGTAACTAATGAAATTGAACAGTTTTGCAGGTACATCTTGTTGAGATAAAGTGAAAGATCCTCTTGCTTTGGACTGGAATATTGTCTGCAAATGATTGTTGGACAGTCGATACAACTAACTGTCTGAAAATTTCTTAGAAATCCAATAATTATAATTACTTTTGGTAAGAATAAATATTAAAATTTGAATCAGGGAAATTGACAGTTAAATCAATGTCAGGGAACCACGAAAACCTTTGATTTGGAGAATATTCAAATTAAGGAATTCAAGTTAAAGACATTAAATCCCTAAGCTATTCCATTGAGATTTACCAAGTACTTCATTTTCTTCAAGTTGTAGAGATATACAAGTTCAACATTTCAGTGAAAAAACTTTACTATATATGCAAT